TGCCGGCATCCCATATGGGCGCCGGGTTCTAGTCCCGGTTGTTCCTCTTCCAGTCCAGCTCTCTGCTGTGCCCTGGGAGGGCAGTGGAGGATGGCCCAAGTGCTTGGGCCCTACACCCGTATGGGAGACCAGGAAGAAACACCTAACTCCTGGCTTCAGATTGACGCAGCTCCAGCCATAGCGGTCATTTGGGGGGTGAACCAACGGAAGGAAGACCTTTCTCTCTGTCTCTCTCTCTCACTGTCTATAACTCTACCTGTCAAGTAAATAAAATAAATACATAAAAAAAAAGAGAAGAGAAATCCTCCAATCCACGTGCTGACGAGCACCATGAAGCGGACAGCAGGTCTAGAGCTTGCATTTTTTTGCTACCTGTATTTTTAGAGGAAAGTTAACATGGGATTGTTGGTAGAAAACAGAAATGAAAGATAAGCATATTTTTGTACAAATTTTTGAAATCTGTAAATACTAGGGTATCTCGAAAAGGTTTATAGAAAATACATGTGACAAAAAAATCTATACATGATTATGTATGAATTTTGAAAATTTCTGTTCCAAAGTAACTTTCAATTCCATTTTCACATGAACTTGTTGATGTATACTGATACTTAAGCCCAAAGGCTGGCCAGGCTCAACATAACCCAATAAAGACTTCCAAGTCTCATGACAGCTCCGTAGTTATTCACCAACAGAAGCAGAAACAGTGCCACTGAGCAGCTTAGAGTCCTCTGCCATACCAGAGGACTCAACTTTTTTTCCTTCCTCTTTTTTTTTTCTTTGTAACTTATTTGAAAGAGAGAGAAAGAGAGAGCATGAGCTCCCATCTGCTGGTTCACTCCTCAAATGCCCACAAATAGTAGGACTTGGCTGAGCCAAAGCCAGGAGCCAGGAGTCAGGAGTCAGGAGCCAGGAGCCAGGAGCCAGGAGCCAGGAACTCAATCCAGGTCTCCTACACAGACAGCATGGACCCAGTAAGCAGATCACAACAGGCAGGAAGCGGACTCTGGAGCCAGAGTTGCATATTAAACTCAAGCACTCTGATGTGGGATGCAAGCATCTATGAAGCCAAATGCCTGCCCAAGGGGGCTTTTCTTACAGCCTGGTGCTCTCTGCCACAGCCTGGAACCCCAAGACTTTGCTGGGTGGAAAGGTCATTATAGTCTCCAAACCATGCCTCCCCTGTTACCTACACATACTCGCACACACCCCATCATGGAGTGCAGGCCCCAGCTCCTGCTGTGCTAATGCAGTCCACTAGCTACTCCACCTGGACTGACATCTCTGCAGAACTGCTTTACTGCAAAGTCTGCCTTGTGCGAGAGCAACATCCCTTCCTGTTTTCTTTCCTACAGTTCACCTGAGTTAGAAAAAACTTCAACAAGTCTCCCTACGCTCCCCCACAATCCTCATCCCTTCATCTGTCACAGAACCTCTGGAGGGCACAGGGCAGAAGGCTGCCTCTGGCATAACACTGTCCTTACTCCTGGAAATCCAGGCCGGCTCGGGACATGTGACCCCTCCATAATGGGGTGACTGGCCTTGAGGTTTACCTTCAACATTAGAACGTGTTCTAACCCCTTAACCAAAATCTAGACAAAACCAAAGTTCGTGTAATCTGTTCACCCAAGCCACTAGCGGTATGTTCCTAACTAATCGGCTTTCCTTTATCTCCATGCTTCGGCTCCACCTCACCACTCAGACACTCAGCGACACACGCTTGGCTGTGATTTACATCACTCTTTCTACAGTACCTGATTCATGAACTACTCTATAGTCCCTTCACAGCTCTGGATATAACTGCAAGTTTACACTTTCTGTGAGCTTTTGTACAATTCTTCCTATAGTGTACTCACCTGCCCTGTCATAGGACAGAGAACCCACAGTCTTGTAAATGGCAGAAACTCAGTGCCTGGCATCCAAGAGGCAGTGTCTGCTCTGAAGAGGGGATGAAGAGGCCCGTTTCCCCCATCAGCCTCAGACATGGCCCCTTTTCAATTTACCTTGACTAAATGGCAACCTAAATCAGTCTGCCAAACAACTGGATTTCTTCCACTGATAGGGTGCTGGAATCAACAGTGTTAGATGGGCAAAAGCATCAACTCCTTTCCAGCTAAGTACCCAGGGTGAGGAAAAGTTCACGTGAGTAAGGCCTAGTACTTGTTCCACTAGATAGGAGCAGGAGAGAAAACATGTTTGTTTCAAGAAGGAAAAGCAAAATGAGGCCAAGACTAGACAAGGGTACTACACAAGGAAATGCAGTGAGGCCTGGTGGGGTCAGCCCAGTAAGCACCCAGAGGACACCAGGAACACCCATTCTCCAGACTGAAAGGAGGGTGAAGACTCCCCACATCTCCTGGGACTTCCACCAACACCCAAAATCAAAACTTCACTTAGCCAAATCCCCTGACCCACTCTGCCCACACTGGCCCACCATCTCAAAGGAGGAAGCAGATGCAATATTAAAAATAACATGAGAATGAGGCCAGCACTATGGCGTAGTGGGTAAAGCCGCTGCCTTCAGTTCCAGCATCCCATATGGGCGCCGGTTCTAGTCCCGGCTGTTCCACTTCAATCCAGCTCTCTGCTATGGCCTGGGAAAGCAGTGGAAGATGGCCCAAGTCCTTGGGCCCCTGCACCTGCATGGGAGACCTGGAGGAAGCTCCTGGCTCCTGGCTTCGGATCAGTGCTGGTCCGGCTGTTGCGGCCAATTGGGGAGTGAACCATCGGATGGAAGACCTCTCTCTCTCTCTCTCTGCCTCTCCTTCTCTCTGTGTGTAACCCTTTCAAATAAATAAAATAAATCTTTAAAAAATATAACATGGGGATGTACTACAAATTTTGTTTCCCTCTTTCAGTCACAAGAAAGTCTTCGAATCCTCAACCATTCCCAAAGAAAATCTGTAAAAACTGTTTCCACCTTTAGTGTGATATTCTGAACAATTAAAACTGAAGGAATGAACAAATGGATGAACAATTAACATCACACATCCTCCTACAGTTCAGGAACAAGACTTCTCACATACTTCCCTTAAGCACAAACCACTGTCTACTTTTAACCATCCAAAAACAGGATCTTCAGTCCCTGGGGCAGGAGGCTGCCCACCACAAGCAGCACAGCAAGTCCACCATGCTGGACCACTCCTACAGTTTTCTCCTCTGCCTCCTTTCAAGTAAGACTGACCAAGAGCAAAGCTCCTCAACTCTGACCTCAGGTCCAGCATGACTGTGCCCTTTACATCCTCCAAGGCAGCACGGCAGGGCTGAACATTAAGATCTGGAGATTCTGGTATTTTCCACTGGAGTTTCTTTTGATTTTAATACATAGAATGGCATCAAGATTCCTGAAGGGATACTGATCATTGCAGCATGCTGCCTCTTTCACTCATTCACTGGCAGGTCACTACTTCCCTGAAACCCCACCCTAGGCGTGCAAGAAGATCAAGGAACCCCAAACTGCAGATTAAGGAGCCCTAAACATGCACCTGATGGTACAAAACCACAACTTCCTTTCTTGCAAGTTTTTCTAACTTCAGAAAGTATTGCATCATCCCAATGAATAAACTACTTCTAAATGATTGTCTCAAATGAGATTTCTTTATACTTTTCATATCAGAGAATTAAAATATCTAAAAATCAAAATATCTAATGACAAAAGCATCCAGTGGACAGATATATGGCTAAATAATGATTTTCCCCCCAGAACAAAGGCACTTAAAATTCATCATCACTCAAAGGGAAATCCTTATTTTACTTTCTCAATGCAAAGTCTTCCAGAAGAAAGCATGTATCCCGCTGTAAAATCAATGTTATTTTTGGCTCTACCAAAAAAAATAAATAAATAAATAAAAAGAGTTGCTCTCCACTGGATATTTCTCATGAATCTCAGAACACAATTTTACTTTTTATATATTTTAATAGCTGAAAGACTTCTACTAAGAAATAAAACCAACCCCAAACTATCCCTAAAATTCAAAAAAGTTTGTAAAACTTTGTCAATTCATTCTTTCAAAAAAAGTGGAAATTACATGTTCTCCTATCTTCCCTCTTCCTTCTGTACAGGGTGTGATTTGCAAGGCTTTACGAAAATATATTCCAAAACAACCTTTCAGTCTCATCACAGGTTAAAGCAGCAAAGCATGATAACAGGTCTTCAAAATGTTTGTGCATATTACAAAACAAGTAATTCAAGGATCTCAAGGTGCTTTATACCAAAAATAGATTTTATCTTTCAATGCCATTTACCAAGAACTTTTTGAAGTATCCTGTATTGCATAACTACCACTGTTATATACCATATTTTAGACTGCTGTAACTGGTAAAGGCTAAGAATCAGTAACGTCTTTACTTTTTTCAGTAATGTCTTTTACTTTCTCTCTGTGACACACATACAATAATCACACACACATACTATGACTGCCAACCATAAACCAAGCAAAGATGCCTTCATCCTCATGGTGTCTGGAGACACTGGAGTGACTGCTTTCCTATATATTTTTATAAAATTTTAATAAGTACATACAATTTTATAATTAAAATTTTTTAAAACTTAACTACTGGCGCTCAGAAATCTGTAGATGGGTAAAGTCAGGCACTATTTTAACTCAAGGCCACTTGGACAGCTAAAATTTCCTAAGCGATGGAGGGGAAAGATGGCCAGAGGAGAGAAGCGAGGTACCTGTTGCAAATCTCCAGTAGAAAAAGGTCAAGGCTAACAGGCCTCATCCCATCTTTTCTATATGTTCCTCCAATCTCACACCATTCTGATCAGATAACTTTGTTCTACTTCCACCCTTGAAATTCCTTCCTTGGAGGGAAACCCATGGTCGGTACCTTGCCCTTTTAGAAACTAAGATCTACAATTTAGTGTCTCAACAAGTTTCCTCTTCCAATTTCACAGGGACTGATCCCCATTCCCAGACAACATGTTAAAACTTGGCCATACCCGTCAGCGCCTTTACTAGGGACCTCAACATGCTGGGGGTGGGGATTTTCGGACTTACATTTTAGGACTTCTTGGGTGTAGCCTTCACCCCATGCATTGGGTTCACTGGAGCAGAAAGGAAGAGAGGGGAGTCCAAAATGGGAAAGTTACTTACACACCGGAAAGATGTCGCGGTCGCCTTCTCCAGCGGGGCCAAACCCCCCGGGGGCCTTGCCTTTGTCTGACGGGCAGGGACTGGCGTCGCGCCCTGACCCCGTGGGACCCGCGGACAGCGAGGGGCGAGCGGGCGCCGAGGACCCGGCATCTGGCCCCGCGCGAGGAACCTGGCTGCGCAGCGCAGGCCGCTCCCGGTAGCGTCTCTCGGTTTGCAGGGCCGAGGAGGCAACAATGAGCACAGCGGCAGCCCGGGCTGCGTTCCCTCGCCAGCTCCCCGCCGCCCCTCGGCCGGGGACCCCGCCCGGGCCCCGCCGAGCGTCGCTCCTGCGCCCCTGGACCTCCCGGGACGCGGCGCGGGATGACCCGAATTCCCGCCCGCCCCTGGCCGGCCGCCTGGGCGCACCGCGGACCCCCGCCCACCGGCCGCGCGCGGATCCGCCGGCCGCCGGCCGGGAGCGTCCCTCGGGCCGGGGGTTCGGGCAGGCCGCCTTCCGCGCCCCTCGTCTTTGTGTGCAAAGTAAGTGCCGGGGGCGAACCTACCTCGAAGCGCACAAAGGCGCGTGGCTCCCTTCCCCGCTCGCTCCGGGTGCCCGTGGCGGCGCCCAGCGGCCCGACTGCGCGGCAGCGGCGGCCCGGGACGGCTCCAACAGCGGCTCTCTGGGCCGGGACAGCGAGCCGGTCTGGCTCCGGGCGCCTCTCACACCCCGCGGCCCCGCGCCTCCGAATTAAGCGGCGAGGCGTTCCGGGGGCGGGGCGCTGCCGCTGAGTCACCGCCCGGCCCCGCCCCCGCCTTCCTTCCGCCCCGCCCCGGCCGCTCCCGCGCTCCTTGGGTCCAAGCTAACTGCGCGCCACCCGGGGAGCAGGGTCTTGGTGCACCGGAGTGGCTTGCCGCTGCTTGGAAAGAGAAAAGGGAATGTTGGAGGAAAAAAGACTAAATGATTCTCACTTGGCTAATCCTCTGCCTGCGGCGCCAGCATCCCATATGGGCGCTGGGTTCTAGTCCCGGTTGCTCCTCCTCCAGTCCAGCTCTCTGCTGCAGCCCAGGAGGGCAGTGGAGGATGGCCCAAGTGCTTGGGCCCTGCACCTGCATGGGAGATCAGGAAGAAGCACCTGGCCCCTGCCGTCAGATCCACGCAGCTCCGGCCGTGGCTGCCATTTGGGCAGTGAACCAACGGAAGGAAGACCTTTCTCTCTGTTTCTCTCTCTTTCTCACTAACTCTGCCTGTCAAAAAATTAATTAATTAATTAATTTAAAAAATTTTTAAAAAAGACTAAATGATTCCAGTTAAGAGAGAAAAATGGGGCCGACGCCGAGGCTAATCCTCCACTTGCGGCGCCGCCGGCACATTGGGTTCTAGTCCAGGTCGGGGCGCCGGATTCTGTCCTGGTTGCCCCTGTTCCAGGCCAGCTCTCTGCTGTGGCCTGAGTAGGGGGGCAGTGGAGGATGGCCCAAGTGCTTGGGCCCTGCACCTGCATGGGAGACCAGGAGAAGCGCCTAGCTCCTGGCTTCGGATCAGTGTGGTGCAGCGGCCATTGAGGGGGCGGTGAACCAAAGGAAAAGGAAGACCTTTCTCTCTGTCTCTCTTCTCACTGTCCACTCTGCCTGTCAAAAAAATAATTAAATAAAAATTTTAAAAAAGAGAAAAAATGGGCCTAGGATGAAAGAGATTTTCTGACTCTGCCTCCCTTTCTGCACCCGGTCTCTTACTTGGTGTCTTGCCTCCATGGCCACCACACACGTGATGCTCAGAGAAGACTGTCCCCATTGAAATCCTGCCAGTACTTCTAGCAAGAAAACCCAAAAAGGGAAAAGGAAACACACTTGTGGTAATTGTGCAAGTTTGCCATCAGGCAAGGCCTTGAAACCCACTGTGCTCACAAAAATCAGAAATCAGAAAATCAGACCTGGGGATTTGTTTTCCTCGCCAAAGGGTAGTAGGAGATTTGAGGAAGAAAGAGTTTCCTTTACCTGTTTTTTCTCTCTGATTTTCATTTTCTTCCTGTCTCTTACAGCAAGTTGTTTCTCTGGCTGACTCTGTGGCTCTGAGATTAACCCCTGAGTCATAAGCAGGCACAAAAGCAGGATCCGTTTCAGAGTAACCATGAGGAGAGCAGGTTGATAGATTTGAGATGACACGCTTTTCAGTGCTCGTGGAAATGTATGACTATGGGTTTGTTTATTGGGGAAGTTTTTCTGACTAAAACACCTTGAGTCATGATCATGCAGACAAGTTGTGTACCTGTTCTAGATTTTGGTGAACAAATCACTCACACCACCTAAGGACCTGGCAGAAACCTGCCGAGAGGTGGGATCACCTGCCACAGAATGTAGGCAGAGTCCTTTCCCTGGCTCCTGGAGCTGACTGCACCACCTTTGTCCAGTGTTTCCTCCAGTTCTTCCTTCACATGGGTCCTTGCATTGTGTGTCTGTTCTTGACAATGGTGCCTGTGCTCACAAAAATCAGAATCTGGGATCCAGCCTAGATTTCTCTGCTCCCCACATCAGCACCAACTCCCAAGTCCTGTGCTTTGTTCAGGGTGCTGGGCTGTGCCCTTGACCCACTGGCACTGCCACACTGGCTCTTGGCTTCCTTTGCTACACTGTGGCAAGTGTCTCCTAGCTGGCCCCTAGCCTCCAATCTCACACATCCTGTTCCTCTCAATTTAAAACATGTAGATTACTTGGCCTGCTCTGCCTCCTACCCTTTCGTGGGTACCCAGTTCCTGCCACATGAGCAAGCCCAAAGTCCTTGCTGAGTGCCCTGTATGCAGCCCACTTCTCTGACACCACCCTTCCAAGTTGTGTGTGCCCTTCCTACATCCCCCAACACCCAGGGCTCTCCTCAGAGGGCTGTACTTGCTAAATGGCCCTGCTCTGTGACTATGGAGCCTGGGAGGAACAATGGGAATGCCTCTTAGTTATGCTTTTCTACAGGTTCCCACTTCTGTCTGGCAGGACTTCTCTCCCGGCCCCCAGCAGCTCCCCTCTCCTCCGAGACCCGGACTACTCTGAAAATCCCTCTCCAACCTGCTTAAAATGAGTGCAACTTTTCTGTCCTTCCTGTACCCAGCACAACACTGTAATTATTGCTCTGTATTGTAAATATGTGCCTCCTTGAGCACAGAATTTGTGCTGAATATATGTGCATATCTCCAACATATTCATGGGAAACAGAGTCTCTGGCATATAAGAAATGTTACGGACTGAATTATGTACCTCCTAGAAATACATATGTTGAGCCCCTGACCCCCAACATGAAGATGTAGCATGTAGGGAAGGAATCCGGGTTACAAAGACCGTAAGGATGGGGCCCTACCATCGTAGGTCATGTGACCTTATCAGAAGAGGAAGAGATACCAGTGCTCCCCCCACCTCTCTGCATACACAGAGTCCACGTGAGGACACAGTGGGAAGGTAGTCATCTACGAGCCAGAGCAGAGGCCTCACCAGAAACCAACCCACTAACACCTTGATTTTGGATTCCAGCCTTCACTACTACGAGAGAATAAAATGCCCAATCTGTAATATTCCCTTAGAGCAGCCTCGTCAGAGTAATATAAGAAACATGCATTAGAGTTCAGATTCCAACCTCAGTAAGGCAGTAACCCACCAGTGAGGCTGATTTGTCTCCCCAAAGCAATCTGCACAAATTTTATGATAACAAGCCATTCGACAGAGGGTCTGGATGTGATAAGGGACCATTCCCTACCCTCAGAAAGAAACAGAAAAATAAGGCTTGTCCTATAGGCTGAAGTCTAAATGCCCACAGTCTTCAAGCCATGATCTACCCCCATTTATACCAAGGACCAGAATTTCTTTTAAACCAAAAACAAATAAATGAAGAGCAAATATTTTACTCTCCCCCACCCCAATTCAAATGTTTATTAAAATACAGCAGACCAATGGCAATTTATTAAACACTGTGTTTGGGGCTGAATATTTCAAATCGCTAGGAAATCTTAAGAGAGATTTTGATCCAGGTAAAATCAAGTGTCCAGTTTGGTTTAAGGCTCCTGGAGCCACTGTGAGCAAAGTCTGAAAAGAAGAACTTTAAGGGGCCCAAATCCCACGAGGGAGACCCAGAAGAAGCTCCTGGCTCCTGGCTTCGGATGGGCACAGCTCTGGCCGTTGCGGCCATCTGGGGAGCAAACCAGCGGATGGAAGATCTCTCTCTCTCTCTCTGTCTCTACCTCTCTCTGTAACTCTGTCTTTCAAATAAATAAAATAAATCTTAAAAAAGAAAGAAGAACTTCAAGGCTATGGACTAAGGTGATGTTTTTATTTGTACCCATACACCTCTCTGCCTGGAACCTGGGTGCATGATAGATGTTTCTTAAAAGAATGAGCCTGACATATCAAGGCACAGCTGGACTTCCAGGGTGACACCAGGGACCATCAGACTCTCAGGTCCGATTCTTATAGACTCCACCTGCTGAATGTGGACAGCACTCTGGGAAAAGTCATGTGGACCAGTGAGCCAGGAACCTGTCATGCTGTGCTTATTTTTTTTTTTTTTTTTTGACTCCTGAGTGGATGTGGTGTGTCAGGAGGTGTGGAGGGCTTTTACTGACCCCAAATAAAGCTACAGAAAAAACACTCCTCCAAATAAGTTCCGATTCACTTAACCCATCACTGGTGATGGATTCTTTAATCTCACATTTCTGGAAAACACATGTGATAACTTTCCATTTTAGAACACTCAGCCACGAAGTTAGCCACAGACTTGAGTTTAACCTCACTCTTTCACTTTTGACACCTGGGAACCTTTTAAATTCATTCTTCAGGAAAATTGAAGGAATCAGAAATGAACATTTGTGGAAATAAAGTGGAGCAAAGCAACTTGGAATAAGATAAGTTTTTGAAAACTCTTCCACTTTGGTCATATTCCCTGTGCATGACCTTGAATTGTTGTGTTATGCCCTAACCATTATCCTGAGGGTCTCTAAGGAGAGGAGACAAGGTTCGCAATGCCCTAGAGGAGGGAAATTTATTTTCATGTGTTTGGCATATTAAATTTTGTTCTGTGTAAATGGACATTCTATTAATATTAATCTACTGAAGAGGAAATAAAATTTCTACTTTAAAATCATATTTTTAAAACCATGTTATTTGTATCTATCTCAGTTGTCTATTAACTAACAAAGCACCCCAAAAAGTAGTGGCTTAAAACAAGAATGAGTGAACTACTCAAAATACTGTGGATTGACAATCTGGAAAAGGCTCAGCATTAGCTTTGATCTGTCATGTGCCTCTGTCCATTGGAAGGTCAGCCAGGGCCTGGTTTGTCCTGGCTGTTCTCAAGGTCCAGAATGTGAGGAAATCTGTGAGCTTGTGCTCCTCAGATCCCCTTCGCCAAGGGCTTTTGATAGGTTGGCTGGGACTTTCTTAGTCTGAAGTTGAGTGCAGGATGATGAAAATGGATGCAGTAAGGCCTCTTGTGGTCTACACTCAAGGTCATTTCCCAAGGAGTCATCAAAAATTCTTGGAGAACACATATTATGGAGAAACTGTGCACTGATTTCAAAAGTTTTTACACCAAAGTAAATTTATCTTCTAATTCCAATTTTCACAAACTTCTAAAAATACCCCTTTATTGTTCCTGAACGTTACAAAGCCAGTCCAAATCCAAGGTTTGGGGGAACTAGACTCCACTGCTCAATGGTAGATACTACAGTCGCATTACAATGGGGCCTGAGTACTGGGATAGGAAGCAT